TAGACCTTAGACACGTCAATCCCTATATTATAAGAGACAAGGTTAAGTTAGAAGACCTTAAGGTAGCTAGAGAGTATTTCAAGAAAGATGCTTATATGTTTTCATTTGATATTAAAAGTGGATACCATCATATATCTATTGCACAGGTACATCAGAAATATCTAGGGTTCAAGTGGCAAGTAGGTGAGAATACGAAATACAAGTATTATATGTTTACAGTGTTACCGTTTGGTATATCAACAGGAGGTCTTGTATTTACAAAGATTGTGAAGCCTCTTGTCACAAGATGGAGGAGCAAAGGTATGAGTATAGTAGCATTCCTCGATGATGCCCTTTGTGTGTGTCAAACACTTGAAGAAGCGGTGGATCAGTCGCATCAAGTAAGGTCAGATTTGATATCAAGTGGTTTTATACCAAATGACGAAAAGTCAATATGGGAACCAACTCAAAATATCAAATGGTTAGGTTTTCAGATTGATTTGAAACAGTTCACTATATCTATTCCTGAAACCAAACGTCTCAAAATAATGCAGGATGTACATGCGCTGTGTAGCAATAGACAGAATACTACAGCAAGAGAGGTAGCAAGGGTTGTAGGTAAGATTGTTTCTTTGCAACCTGCAATAGGTAATATTTGTTATCTTATGACAAAACATTTACAAATTGTCGTGGCCAGCAGGTCAGGCTGGGATGTAAGAATAGACCTATCTGTAGGTGCCAGGCAAGAAATACTGTTCTGGAGAGACAATTTGCCACACATGGAAGGTGAGAAAATAGAACAATCACAAGTATGTACTAACTTAGTTTATTCAGACGCATCTGGGAACGCCTGTGGTGGGTACTTCGTAGAATATGAGACAGAAAAAGCTCATTATACATTTTCCGATTCTGAGAAAACAAACAGCTCAACCTGGAGAGAACTCAAAGGACTACAGGTAGTAATACAATCGACATGTGGTCGACAGATAATCAGAACATTGTAAATATTATCAGAAAAGGTAGCATGAAACTAGATTTACAGTATTTAACATTAGCTATCTTTATGCTATGTAAGCAGTTCAACGTCAGGTTGTCAGTTCAGTGGATTCCAAGAGAGAATAATGTCATAGCCGATGAAATAAGTCGCATAGTTGAGACAGAAGATTGGAAAATTGCCAAATGGGTATTTACATGGCTGGACCAGCTATGGGGTAAGCATACAGTAGACAGGTTTGCTTCTAGCGAAAACAATCAGGTAAACCGATTCAACTCAGAATATTGGTGCCCAGGTACAGAGGCAGTAGATGCATTTTCTGCGAGTTGGAAAGACGAAAATAACTGGCTAGTACCACCAATAAAATTGGTTTGCAAAGCAGTGAAATATGCATGTTTTCAGAGAGCAAGAAGTACATTAATTGTTCCGAAGTGGAACAGCGCGGCATATTGGCCATTGTTGCATAACGGTATCAGGTACCGAGAATTTATCACACAGGTGATTGAGATTCCTATGGGGACAAATGTATATATATAAGGTTCACAGAAAGATTCTGTTCTAGGTAGCAAATTTCACGGTATAACTTTAGCATTGAAGTTATTTTGATGAAAAAATTAATGTAAATGAATCACAGGGTTCGTCAGCCAACAAGGTTCTGGTATAGAATGCATATATTTGCCTTGTAATGTAATATGTTTCAGGTGTATTCGACGAAATAACGAAGACAGAGCAATGGTCAGAATTACAAAAGGACATTACAGAACCAAAGCTTCAAATCCTCTTCGATGAACTGCCACGCCAACTATTAAAGTCCAAGGAGGATTCTACGGTCAGATCTTATACTGCTAATTTCAGTAATTTTAAAAAATGGTGTAACACATTTGAAAATGTAAAATATTTACCAGCAAAAACTATTCACGTAGCATTGTATTTACTCAGCTTGATTCAAAATGCAGTGACAGTATAGTGAACAATGAAAATACGCCATAGCATGGGCACATGAAACGGCATGTATACCAAATCCATGCGATAACATAATGATAAATAAACTAATAGAATCAGCTAAAAGATCTCTTGGTCAAGGGACAGTCAAAAAACAACCAATTACTCCAGAAATGTTAGAAAAAATTGTAGACAATTCGGACAATTCATACATTAACCTTAAATCATTAAGAACAATTACATTCATGATATTAGCGTATGCAGGTTTCTTCAGATATGATGACATTTCTAGGCTAAGATCGAAGGACATACAATTCAAACAAACACATATAGATATATTTGTAGAAAAATCTAAGACAGATGTATATAGAAACGGTAACAGTGTTATTATTGCAAAAACTTGTAACAAGCTCTGTCCATATACATGGTTACAAAGGTATTTTGAAATGGCAAAAATCAAACAAGATTTAGAAGAATATATATTAAGAGCATTGACATTCAAGTCAAATGGTTATGTTCTTAGAAACACAAACTCAAAACTGAGCTATTCGGCTTGCAGGGCTATGGTAATAAATGCCATCAAAAACATAGGTTTTGACTCGGAAAAGTTTGGTACTCATAGTTTGAGAGCTGGAGGGGCTACGGCAGCCGCAAGGTTTGGTATATTTGATAGAGTATTCAAGTCACATGGTCGATGGAAATCAGACTATGAGTATGAAACTAAGGTAGTCATTCTCGGCTTTTTGCCTACACGAGTAACACCTAAATTTCAGCCACAAAAATTGTACAATAGTTAAAATTAAAAAAGATGTTATACATTTTAAAATAGAATATACGAAATGGCTCTAATATCATAAAATAACACGTTTATAGTTTATTTTCAGAGAACATGGCCTTCAGGGGCAGCACAAAGAACAAACCATTCTGGACAGTAATGCCTTATGGGTTATAGACGAAGCCTTCTGGGGCTGTATCAGATGAAGCCTTCTGGGGCCGAGCCTTCTTGGACTGTATTATAAAGCCTTCTGGGGCTGTATCAGATGAAGCCTTCTGGGGCTGAGCCTTCTGGGGCTGCATCATACGAAGCCTTCTGGGGCTGCACCAATGAACATTATTCAGGTTTTATAAAAAGTTTAACGGGAGTGAAAGTTGACACCCCGGGTTAACACGTCTTTCTGCCAAGTTCTAAATCCCACGCTTTGTTTTACAGAGTGACTCTGCTTCATTCAGGCGGGTGAACCACCTGCATGTTTCCCTATAAAGGTTTTTTTTCAGGTTGGTAGGCCGAAGTTGAGTCAGAGGCATTTCAGACGTTAACACGGTCTCTGGGACCACAGAGCTAACCACGATATAACCAAAATTTCATTGTACCCACATAGACATCAATAAACGTTACTCTCGGCAAACGCAGCCATTGCTAAATAAATGATTATTTTGTTCAGTTTGTAAGAGCAAGTGCGGGGAATGATAAGAAAATGCCTATATTCTACGGCGCTCTCCGTATTAGCATACATACACCTACATCATACTAACACTTACTTTATCCTAATATAACCAGGCCTCATTCATTCAATCTTTGGGGAACGGCGTATCTGATTGTTCACAGAGCATTTTTATTCATTAAATTCATCTCCCGTTCACGAGTATACTTATTTTTGGGCTCTTTTCTCAAAGATTAATGATTAGGCTGCATAACCAGGAGTATGCGCTTTAATTGCGTAACATTATCTCATGGTTACGTAATCGGTCATTAGTTTTATATACTATTAGGCAAGCTCTTTATCGATATATAGCCGACTCCCAATGTCATAAAAGTTTTGTAAAATATGTTATGTCAAAATGATGAATTCTATAAAAGCGTACACGTGTCCTTCGGATATAAACTACTATAGGGTTGCTAATCAACTACAGGTAACAATGGAATGGTAAAAAAGTAAGTCCTGCGACCCTATCATTACACTGCACATACAATGTATGAACATTTTCGAGTATACCAAGTACTTGTAAGTTATTTAAAATCATGAACGATTTTAAATGCAATCATTTCCAAGGCAGCAGTCTACATGACTTCATAGGCGTATGACATTGCTTAAATATTAACTTTCAACTGAACATTAAATATACAAAATATGCTGCCATTTTTGATCAAATATGAGACAAAATGATGAATCATGCCTTCACATTACTCCTAATATAAACGCCTATAATGTTAATAAATCAAGAGGTGTTTCTTTAATATTTTTATGTCAGAATTTTACCTTAGTTTTCAAATATATAATCGTTTTTGATAATTCTGACATTTAAAAAAGTTATCAAAGACAAAGTGACCCTTAAAAAATTCTGCCCAGGCTACTACGTAATATAGCTTGGTTTGTACAGCGCTCTAGACGAACACAATACCTTCTGATTTTGTTTACCCGTGTTTTTAATCTGATTCATCAACAGATTAACTGTATGGATTGAATATTTAATTTTTGAATTTGTCATGCCTTTCGAACATGAAATAACATTGTGCGAAATAGATTATAAATCAGATTTCAAAAGAATGATATATTACAGCATGCTGGTATACAAAAATACAACATCAACATATTGTACACATAAGAGTAAAATAAACAAATCGAGGCTATTCACTGCATGTGGGGAAATTTACCATAATTTATATTTTCAAGTAGAGTCAAATTCTGTTTTTCTATTAAAGCCTGTGCCATGTCTGTTAATATCAACGACATTTAATGGCTATCATGGCCATACGATATATACTAAAAAATATTGCTTATTAATTCTTAAAAACAACTCTACGTACTGATGTACGTGCCTGTATCCACCTTGTTAAAACTATGCTGAATTATGGGTCATTCCCATTTGGGCTCCTTCAGACCATGATTTTTACTTGATTTTCAGTGTATGATATGCTGTCATAGATTTTGCGGATTTAGAATGTGATGCTGTTTCTTGAACCAAGGTTCGGGGTGGGGTTGTTACATATCCGTGACTGATATCATACAATTCCGTAAGCAAGGACCAGAAGGGATAATTTCGAATATATGAAAGTAAGGTTTTAATTGTACAATATACAAACACATTTTTTTGCAGCAACAATCAATTGGTCTTTATTATGTAATCAAATTTAGATAAGATATGGTGATCATAATTGTTTAGTATTTCACTGTTTCAGGTTTGGCGTTTGGAAATGTGTTCAAGTTCATCAGATTTCTGAAACAAAAACAAAAAAAATTTAGTCAAGCATAAATTTTACCGTTTAAAAATGATATACTTAACAATGAAAGTGTTTATGTTATTAATCAAATTATTTTCAATTTTTAATGTTTTTTTCTTACGGCAGCATTTCAAATTTTTTATTTCAAATTGCGGATCCAGAGAGCAAATTTTGCCGCCACAGTTAGTGCAGCCCGTGCTAATGCGTTTACAAGTTGTAATCTCTACGCTTTTACAACCAAAAGGCGCTTGTCGTTTGTTGCCTTCTATATTCTGTGGAAAACCAGGGAAGTCAAGAAAAGGTGCACAATCCGTACGATCACAGGGCCCCCACAGTCCCCAGGTATATTTTGGACACTGTTCTACTTTTTTAGTTGTTGTCGCTGGTTTTGTTGTTGTCGCCTTTGGGGTTGTCTTCTTTGGGGTTGTCTGTTTTTTTGTTGTTGGCTTTGGACCTACAAATAATTCATCGTGTAATAGGAAATCAATGAAAATTAGCTTATATTTTATAGAGTTGGCTTCATTCTGTTTTTATGTTAGGGATAAACAACGAGTCTTAGTATTAGACAAAACAATTTTTTCTCCTTAAACCCAAAATTGAACCAAAAGATCCAATTTAAAAAAAATTGAATTTCTTTTTTTTGTATTGACTTGGGTAAGCTTATTAAGAAGTGAGTGGCTGTAATTAGCCCAGCTTGAGTGCAGTGCATTTAACATGGCATGTACAGTTTAACGTTTTTCAACTATTGAAGGCGTGGATATGGTATAATTAGTTAAGCGTAAGTGCATTGCATGTGACAGTCAATTGTCTTTTATGCCACACTGGTTTTGGCTAGCAAAAGCCAAGTGTAGACTCTTAAAAAACAATAGAAAAATAATACACTGCTCTTTTTTTAGCTGGATATTCTTAAAAATAAAGCACCGTTCATTCTATTGTGTTGCTACTTAAGTGTGGTTTAAGTGTCTATTACCCATGCAATGCCATTTAAATGGACGAATGAGATAAATGTGGACATATTTTTTATTTTTATCGAACAGCTATAGGAATACTGTCCTAATGTAATAGTTCACTGTTTTGATGTGGGGTAAGTCACGTGACTGCGCTATCTATATATTCAAGAGCTCTGGTGTGATTCTCCAATTGCGAACATGTACATGTATCTTCTATTAAGAAAGGATCGCGTGTAGCCTCATGCTTCAATGATCTAATAACTCGTCAATTTCCTCTCTAAATTGTGAATATGAATCTTGTTCAAATTCTTTTTCCTCGCTTGTTTCATTCATTTTGAAATAATTTCAACGTCACTGGTCACGTGATTTACCGAATGGTTTTATGCTACATGCATGTGTCATTTATGTGGGGTAAGTCACGTGACTTACCCCAAGTGATTTTATGCGAAAGTACATGTAATTAATTATGTGGGGCAAGTCACTATATGTCCGTGTTATTTTAGACTCTATGATTGTTCGGTAAATGAAAATTGTTTGGTTCCAAAGTATATTTGTATTTGATGCGTGTTCTTAATATATGTGTCAACCGTCTTTGTTCGTGTGTGTACATGGACTTAAATATGTGACATTTTACCAAGCACTGAATAACATGAACCGCATATACAAGTGCATCTACGCATATATAGGTACATAAATCAAATATAAATGTGAAAAAACAAACAAATTTATTACGTGTTTCGAATTATTTTAATATAGTGGAATATCGAATGGTTGTAATCAAATACAAAAGTGTGAAAATCGAATAAAGATGCAGAAAAAAGTCCATAATATGAACATAGGTTTATATAGAACCATTCGGTAAGTCACGTGACTTACCCCACAAATGAATATGTTTACCACAAATGAATATGTTAACCCAACACGAATGGTACTTGGCATCGCATATATTTAAAATACTTATCAAATTTATATTTGATCGGGTCGAATACAGTTTTGAAGCATCTTACATATTTGTTGTGTAAGACAGTCAATTATATGTGGGATAGTAGGTACCATTTGTTGTAACTGATTTTGTTTGTGTTCGGTTTAACTTACACCGTGACCGAAGATATTAATGTTACGAATATTGATGATATAGATACACTATATAATGTCCTCAAATTCTCCGATGCAAAATTTTTGATAAAAACTTTTCAACTCTTCAAAAACTTATATTCTGCTTTTTAGGGCATATATTGCATAGCATTGAATATCACGAGTGATCATTGCAATTTTGTAATTTTGACCTTTACTCTTAACTAATAATCCTACCACCATGCCTGTTTTGCAACATGTGCGATATTCTGTTTTAATAACCCTTGGACATCTTATACTAGCTATAATAGTACAATAACGTCATTTCTAAGGGCATTATAGTGAAATATTGGACCGAGGGCCGAAGGCCCAAGGTCCAATATTTCACTATATTGCTCGCAGAAATGACGTTATTATTAGTATTATTACCACCGTTAACGACCAGGGCTGAAATAGCAAGAAAATCTTACGCACTGAACGATATCTAATTTCCCGGGGAAAATTGCCGGTCCAGAATACTAGTATATTCTAGACCGGTCCATATGGACCACCACTATGACGTCACATATTTCTCAGGTCGATATAGTAAAATGAACGCCTTCTAAACTAGCACTAAAACCTCTAGAACTGGCCCGGCAAGGTGGTAATAATACATTTTTGTACCACCATATCTGCTTTAAAACATGTGCGATCTTCTTTTTTTATTATACTTCTGATAATAGTTATAGTAAATAAGTATACAACCATACCCGTTTTAAACCATAAGCGATCTTCTGTTTTGATATCCCTTGAACCTCCGATACTAGCTATAGATAATCATCATCCTAACACAATATCTGCTTCGCAACATATGCGATCTTCTGTTTTGATAACCCTTGTACCTCTGATACTAGCTATAATAAATAACTCTACCACTATATCTGCTTTACTACATGTGCGATCTTCTGTTTCGATAACCCTTGCACCTCTGATACTAGCTATAGTAAATTATTCTACCACTATAGCTGTTTGCAACATATGTGATTTTCTGTTCTGATAACCCTTGCACCTCTGATAATAGCTACAGTAAATTATTCTACCACCATACCTGTTTTGCAACATTGGCGATCTTCTGTTTTGAATGCGACTCCTATGCAACCTTTTGGTATTCCTGGACATGGTGTACACTGCCTTACTACTTGGCATTTGTATGTCGTGATGACACATGTCTCTCGTTTCTTACCCACTGGAACAAGTGGTGTACAATCTGCTGGTGGATTACATTTTCCAGGAACATCCATCCACTTTCCCCATATGCCACAGCCTGGTTCTAGGAAATAAATAAACGATGGTTCATGCTTGATTACAGTATGTCATGTTATAGTTCCCAATTGCAACAATTAAACGTTGGTCTATAGTCTATGAATATATGCATATTTACTTAGCTGTCTCCCACTTGAGACATCCTTTTAGCATTGAAATGACACTTTGTGAATACATAGAGATTTCGCAGAACACTTGTAGAGTGTTTATAAATCCTTCATTTTATAACTTATCTGATATTATTTGTCATTAGTTGCATAGCTCTATCTTTTCATAAGAAGCAATGGCTTATACGTAACATGGTGTTTAAAAGTCAGTAAATTCTTTAGATATACAGTAGGTATTGGTAGGAATCATAATATTACTTGGCATAAAGTCATATTATAGTGACATTATCAAAACCATCTTATATAAGGAATTTGGAAGGGGAAATATTTAATTTTGGTGAAACAAATTAAATTAAAATTGTTTCTATACGTATTAGTGCATATTTTTGCAAAATCCCAATTTCAATTCACTTATACTCTTTACGTATACACATAAATTATGCTTTCGCTTCTACCGAAATCTTCGTCTGCTAATAAATAAACATATATTCGTTGAAAAGCGTTCATGTTTTATGACCAAAGTTTGCAACAACCGTATGATATAAGGCCATGGGTATCAGTAAGTTATGAGTTTTTAATAATAGGAGCTAACACGTATTCTAAAGATCAAAAGTATGGGACTTGGTGTCATCAATACATACATTTCTATTACAATAATGGGAGTGAGGAAGTGAGGAAATTGTCTTACGTAACATATTTTAACAATTTTGCAAATAGTTTTATTTAATGGAGCTGTCACACTTAGGCCGTGTGGGCTCACCGTTCGCCACCATATAAATACTTAGGGTACAGGGCCGGACGACACATGGGCACACGAGGGGCTAGAACAAGATATTCTTACAACTTATGCACACGAAGAATGAAAAAAAGATTTATCTATCAAATCAATGAATTCCAAAAATTAACAACGTGGTTGTGAACCAACACGGCCCATTATTGCAGGTGAAATTGTTTTCGAAAACATTTACACTCGTTGGCAAATGTTAACATTGTTAATATCATAGCTTGACATAAAAGTGGCGAAGAAAGCTGATAGAAAAATGTTAAACTTAACACATTTAGCTAAACGAATCTCATACAATCATTTTAAAGACATTTTAAAGGAGGATGCATATGAAGGGAAGAAGAACGATGGTTTGTTTATAACAGTATCACCCTGCTATAGCATGATGGTTATGCCACCTCTGAAAACAAGGTTGGACGGCTACGTTCACTGATTCATCCAATAAAATGGCCGCGATGGAACAGAACACTAAGGTTGGTGCATTATTTTCTACTACTGTGTATCAATGAAAGGATGCCCGATTTATGTAAGCATTGCATTCGGTGATGCATTTAGTAATGTATATTTTGAACGTAGTCTTTGCGAATCGATGCCCGGGGATAACATGAAATAAGCGAAAAACTGTTGAGTTTGAAATTCAAAACTACACCAAGTTTAGTAATCTACGTAGTCGTCTAACAACATTGCGTTTGAAACCTTATTATTTACAATAAACACCACATTCCTGTTCTGGATTTGTCATTTTATGGCTTGTTTATACACAATTTACTTACAGTAAATAGTTTGTGTGACTATGAGGCACAAATATTGAGAAAACACGAGAATGGACAAAAAATTATGAACTTGAATATCTCAGTCGGTAAGTTTACAGCTTATATTCTGCTTCTAGCAAGCCACCCGGCAGATTTCACCCAGACTTTATAACCATTATACGTTACCGAATGGAACTATTTGAAACGGAAATCTCATCTGTGAATCTTGTCTATAGACGAGAAAGAGGACATGCTGTCTATCCCATCCGCAGTTTTTTGTTATCGTTACCGCAAAATTTTGCAAATCGTTTATTCTATATTTGATGACTTGCGAGTTAGATGTCTACTTACGAGGTGGTTGGGGTCTAGGAGTGTCGACGCAGCAAGGTCTCGAGGCTTGTTCTACTGCAATACCAGTACACCGTCCAGGATCTACTTCAATCCCATTACAATAGCACCGGCGTGTTCGTCGACTCATCGCAACTCCACATCGTTGATCCCACCTGAAACATGGTTCCATTCGTTGCCATCTCGTCCATGGTCCCCATTGGCAATCTTATAATACAATAATATATTATTTGGAATGATGAATTGCAATGTCATCAATAACCTAAATATTAAGGAGTTTTTCACAACCAAAACGTGAACGGAAAATATTTAAGAGGTGGATTTGTATGGGCGATTGGTCATATGTTGGCGTTTCGATTTTATATGCAAGCTTAATTGCCCTATTATCTATAAAAAGTACGCCATACATTCAGTAAATGAGTATATGTAGAACATAACCAGATAAATGTCATTAACTAAATACAGGTATCATGCATATATTCTAAAATATGTAATGTAGTTCCCATATGATGAAATAAAACAACATTTAAGATTTAGATAAGAACTTTTGTTTTTAACGATACCAGGACGCGGAATGATAGGCTGTGGAACGTGAGGTTGGACGATCCGTATGGGGTGACAAGGCTGATTATTGCACGGTCGTCGTGTCACTGTCACTTCAGTGTTCGAACCATAGCAATTTGAATCACCCGTTGGACCCCATATCTTGGTCCTAGTACGTGTAACAGTTAATACGCCACCTCCACAAGCTGTAGAACATGGACCTAATGTTGCTGTGCAATAGTTACTCCATCTACACCCTGTGTTGAAACAAAAAGTGTGTAAATCTTAATATAAGCACTGGTATAGATGCTATCATTCATGAGTCTGTTATTGTTATAAACAATATCCTTAAACTATTCAGTCAATATGGTACTACGAAAATGGGACTTCTGCGCATGTTAAAGGGTTTCGTCAAAACTCAACCTCTGTATAACATTTGCCGTATTTCTCTGGGCCGTAGTTACTCTATCTACATTCTGTGTTGAAACAATATTGGGTGATAAAAACTGTGAGTATAAAATCACATCTGTTTATCACTTGCATAAACAAGTCTTTGTAAACAATTACGTTATTGCCAAAATTAATCATTATACAGGGTGTGCCCAAAAAATTGCAACTTTTTTAAAAGGCTAGAAAAGTATCAAAACATTAAGGTATTCGCAGCACGGCGTGTATTGATTCCTTGGTAATGACCATTATAAGTCAGCCCAGTAGAGATGATTATCATCCGAATTATTATGGATAAATGTTAATCAACTAGTTCCTTACTTGAGGAATTTATTGGCTGCGCATACGGGACAACAGGGATGATTATTGGCTGACACGGCTGCATATTACATGACTGTGTTCTCACATCAGTGCTACAACCATAGCAATCTGGATCCCCAGTTGAACCCCATATCTTGGTCCTAGTACGTGTTACCATTAATACACCACCTCCACAACGTGAAGAACATGTCCCAAATGTTGCTGCGCCATAGTTACTCCATCTACACCCTGCGTTGAAAAAATAGTGTGTAAATCTCAATATAAGCACTGCTTTACACTGTAGATGCTGTTATTCATGAGTCTGTTATCAATATAAACAATATCCTATTCAGTCAATATGGTACTACGAAAATGGGACTTCTGCCCATGTTAAATTTTTCGTCAAAACTCAACTTTTGTATAACATGAGAGGTCTATCTTCGGCGATGAACATTATGAAACACCCTGTAAAAACTGGATTAGAGTTTATTATGCAACAGAATGGCCCGCTCTATAAATTGTTAACATAGATTGGATTGATTAGCGTATCGAAATTGTAGTCAAAGTGTTTGATTGGATACTCTGAATATAATTCAGGGTTTACGAGGAGATCCAATCTTAAACGTTTACAATCATCGTGCCTTTTATACGTTCTAAACTTATATCTCAACTTAAACTTTAACAGGAACTGTGAAATAATTCACTTGTTGGGAGACACACCACGCCACAAGAGTTAGGTATTGAATTGATATTGTACAAATAACTAACGATGCAACGAATATATTACATTCCCCGTCATTAATTGATGAATGAGTATACAACTTGTAACCTATTTATGTCAACTGGGTAGAATTCATGAATATCGATTTCAAATTAATTTAGTGTGACAAGACCCTTAAAAGTTCAAGTTTACTTATACGTATCTAGAATAACAACTTTACCGAAATCGCTATATTTTTCCATCTGCCATTATTGTTATAAACACCATCCTAAACAATCATGTTATACCAAATTCATAATAACGATCGCTGTATCAGTGCGTACATTCCTTTAACTGGTTACTCACTTGGACACGGCTGAGTGTTACATGATTGTGTTTTAACTTCAGTGTCCGAACCGTAGCATTCTGGATCCCCGGTCTCTCCGTATAGCTTGTACCTGTAACGTGTCACTGGTAGTGTGCCGCCTCCACAAGAAACAGAACATTTGCCGTATTTCTCATCACCATAGTCACTCCATTTACATCCTATTTTGTAAAAAGATAAGTAATAATATTGCCGTATTTCTCTGGGTTGTAGTTACTCCATTTGTTTTCTGTGTTGAAACAATATTGGATGATAATAACTGCGGGTGTACAATCTCATATGGTAATCGCTAGCATAAACAAGACTTAATAAAAAACCACGCCATTGCCATAATAAATCATTATATTTGTGATTTATATATTCAATCAAACTGGTTACTCACTTCTCCCTGCGACAGGAGGTGGGACAATCGGTTGGGGAGGCGGAGGGACCGGTCCAGGAGGAATGATCTTTATTGGAGGAGGTTGAGAAGTCTGTATGGATGGACATGAATGAGTATTACACGATTGGCTTCTCACATAGATATAGCTCGAACCAATGCATTCCGGATCCCCGGTCTCTGCTTCACCGTAAAACTTGTACCTGTAACGTGTCACTGGTAGTGTGCCACCTCCACAACTAACAGAACACTCCCCGTATTTCTCCTCACCATAGTCACCCCATATACATTCTATTTTGTAAGAAAATAAGTAATAAAATTGAAAAATATGCTTATATCGAATCTGATATTCGTTTGATTGCTCTCATATTATATTCAATATCATTAGATATCAATATCAAAGTAACACACAACTCATATAAATTAAAATAATCGGATTTAATGATACGTGAATGATACGTGCTCTCCAATGTATTTACTCACTTCTCCCATCGATTGGGGGCGATCCATTCTTGCAAATCTTTTTACATCGGCGATTTTCTTCATTGCAATTTTTCATGCATGCCTTGTCCCCACCTTTCCTACCTTTTTGGGCATAACTCTCAGCAACTACAATATATCAACATTTATATTATCAATACTTATCGAAACATGTATTGTGAAGCAAAACACAATAGATGTATTTTCATTTGTCAAGAAAGAATCGGTATGAAAAATGACCAAAATGACCAAAATACAACGCATCACGTTGCGAACAATTTATTTTATGAATTAACGCAGTGAGCTCAAGGGTCTCGAGTCATGGATACGGCCTAGCTCAACATGTTCAACACTCGACACCATCGGCCAAATAGAATAAGTTTTGTCATCGGCTAATCTGACTTCAGAGAACAGGTGTTGTCATATTCATCAGTACTTGATGCTAATTCTTCTTTTGCCTCTTCATTGCTATCTTTTTTACTTGAATTGGTTTCATGAATAAAGCAAGACACAATTTTTTCCTTGGCCTATAGAGGCTCAAACAAGAGCGTCTCTTGCGAGTCCTGAAAACAAATATAAGCAATTCAATATTCCATTTCTTACCCATTATAGCAATAACATGGAAAGAGGCTATCAGAACTAGCAACAACCTTAACTTGAAAGATGCACATGCACGTAACTGTCCGCGAAATATCTAATGCCCATCTAATACATTACATTACCCTCTATAGAATTCATACGTAGTCGTCTAACGACATTGCGTTTAAAACCTTATTATTTACAATATGACCACGTTTCTGTTCTGGATTTGTCATTTTATGGCTTGTTTATACACAGTTAACTTACTGTTAATAGTTTTAGTGGCTCTGAGGCACATATACTGAGAAATCACGAGGATGGACTAAAAAATATGAACTTGGACATCTTAGTCGGTAAGTTTATAGCTTATATTCCGCATCTAGTAAACTACCTGGCAGATTTGACCTAGTCTTGATAACCATCCATATATACGTCACCGAATGGAACTAGTTGAAAAGAAAATATTATCTGTGAATCTTGCCTACAGGCGAGAAAGAGGACATGCTGTCTTTAAAATCCGCCATTTTTTGTTATCGTTACCGCTAAAATTTTGCAAATCGCCTTGTCGTAACCGTCATGCTATAACACCGTGAAATTATATAAGGCAATCACGTTGACATTTTCAAAATTGAAGGCAGTGTGGCGATTGACAGCATTTATTGAACTATTCTCATAAAAATATTTTTAGCGTTCTTATCTATAATTTGACAAAATGCATATTGCGCATTAATAATTTTTGTAACACGGGTGAGTCGTTGAAAATATGACGACAGAGAAACCAATTTTAATACAGATAAATGTAGACAGAGTTTTATATTTGTAGAGTCTCCTTGGAGATCAATAAATGTACCAGTCAAATGCAAAAAGACCGGATGTTAAATGCTGACTTGATTTCACTCGATTCTCTCGATCTTTATGTACTTTAAATCGACTTTAATTTTATGGTGAATGAAACACATCACTTTTCTTGATGTTTTTAACACATTAAAATGTAATAAATAATGGCAAACTTTAGATAAATAATACTAAAACAAATTAACTAGTTTTGTTTGACATTAGGCCGACATGTTATACCTTTGTGGTTCTAGTTTTTACAATTTTGTCACAGTATGAATTAATTTCTTTTGTTATTTTTATGGTATCACTCACAGCCATGTCGTTAACATTTTGCTTCATTTAGAATCATATAAGTGTCAATGTATACGAAATGTAGTTTTTAAAGTTTCATTTCATTATTCAATTCAAACTAACTCTCATCGTTTATGTGGCAAAGTGACATTCCACAGTGCTATGTAAGATAACAGGTCCCTACATGTAGGTTTAGTACGTAGTAATGACATGTCCCTAGTTTTAGTTCTCAAGAAGAACGCTGGTGGCGCTGCAATTGTTTGAACAAAATGTCAAATGTTTGAAAGATGATGTATGTGACCCATTTTCTACATCGTTATTACACCCATATTGTAAGATTTATGACAAAGTATCTTATCAAGGCGAAGGTATTGTTTTATTACTGGAGGAAACTATATTTCTGTGCGAATTCATGTTCTAATGATCTCTTCCCGGTGCAGAGTCTGCATTCTCGTTCGCACATGACTTTTATTTTGGAAAAATGTAAATATCTTTACATAACTAGCTTGGGGTGACATTTTGGTGTCTATTTCTCACATGTTATTATATCCACTATGTATTTGTGTACTTTTTATGCCATTTCGAATGGGTTTATCTCAAGCTCATTTCTCATGTATGTCCTTGGACATGTTGAATAATTCAATCATTGAAAATATGTATTGACTCTGTGTCACTACCAAAAAAACAAACAAATTAAATGAAACTCAGACAGTCTCAAGCAAACGTACTACCCTGTCTTATGTAAAAGTTTGAGCATCCAACTCCTCTAATTATAAAATCTAGAGCCAGAGAACTTTTTGATCGGCCCTTGTATAATATACAGGATACCAATGGTGTGGATCCCTGACCAAATATGCTATGTTCACAAGTATGGACCCTCAGAACATCATTACGCTCATACCTCTGGATGAAGTCTTACCCTAGTATGGATCCCTAGACTCGATATAGCCTTAACTCTAGTACAGATCCCTAAAACATCATTACATATATCCTCACCAGTATTGAAACTCTACAGTAATTAATCCATATAAAATCCATACAAAGAGCATGATGTATGACCCGAATCACCCAGATTGCATTGAATTACAGAGTTTTTGTAATTAGTCCGACTGATATAGCCTACCTAGAGAAAACCGCCGATACCTCAGCAACAATGTTCGAAACAGTAGTTTGGGATACCCCGAATATATCTCCATTTATCATTTGCATACAACCTGTAGCATAAAATCGTAATGAAATGAATACTTTTAGCTGACATGGAATTGCCTGAGGATTCCTTGTTCTTGACGCTAGATCCCCATCTAATATATTAATCAACTCAAGAATGAGTGGCCTCGGCATGCGATATCTGTTTAATATCTCATCGTCAGTCATCTCTAACGGCTGACTCCTGTCTCTGAATAAGCGTAAACCTCTTCTATTGTGAACATCCTGGAATAATATGCGCCACATTTTCCAGCTTGATCGAACCCTAATATTTTAATTTTAGCAGACGATATTTGCGAAATAGAATTGCGATATTTATTATAGATTTCACAAAACCAAGGTAGCATAATCGTGCACTTTCAGACTTGAATTTGATAAGTTTTGGTTATTTGTGTCTCTAATGTTTTTCAACCTATTTTTAGTTAGATGTCTCAAAGGGCACTTCCTAGATTTCTACAACGATAATGTTAATTTAAATAGGAAAACTATCAAGATTCTTGATGATATGTTTGCGATTTATATTGCGGCAGGGTCAGGGATGCCGCAAATAAAGTGGAGTTTGCGACATAAAAATCAACTGATTTACGTGGACGCAACTGTGCGATGACTGCATAATACCAATTTGCGTGCGGTTAGCAGTGTATTTGCGATGCGAAATGAAAATAGCGATGAGTCTACCGTGTAATAAGAAAACTGCGATTTGCGTTAAAGACGCAAAACGGCAATGAATTTGCGCTAGAGTGCCTTTGAGATGACATCATAATATCGTTTTGCGTACGATTCGCTAAATATTTACGTTGCGATTGTGATTTGCGGTGCGTTGACCGGATAATGAGGTCCCAGCCTCCTATTCCTCGCAAGCTAGCGTCTATTTCAGTATAAATTCCATGTTAAAGTCAGGGAATAATCCAAATATGGGTGCAGTGGTCAGCAATTCTTTGAGTTTCAGATTTCACATTCAGCAGTCCATACAACATCATATCTCTTCTTCTTGTTGTAGTCCTTGCGTATTAAACTGAAGAAAGGTGAGGCAACGGCAGAAATTTCAGGGATATACCTCCTGAAGTATCCAACATGTTTTCCTATGTTTTTCTTCTTATGTGTACCTTCGCCAAAGGAAACATTTTCCTAAATGCCCCGTTCTATTTAAGTGACGACAAACGGTGGTATTGATTGAATGAGTAGTGAGTGATTTATGTTTAGGAAATAGGTTTTGAGTCATTTGGCTTTGTGACGCTAACACGGCAGCATTTGCTAAATTTATTAAGACTTGCAATTGAGACTTTTGCTATATACTAAAATACGCAACTGAGACTCAGAATGGAGAACGAAGAAAACGTGAATTGTTCAAAGATGGTTCAAAACTGGCGAGGAAGTTGGAAACAGAAACAAAGTTACAGAAGAAAAGACGAGAGAAACGGTATGAATTCAACTCTGAGATATTGGATAACATACTTCCAAATATCTAGAAGATTGGAGACTGAGATGTGCAGGGCGAAGTGGGTGTCCTGGCAGAAGGTATGGTTTTGAATAATTAATGAAATAGAATAGGTTAAAATAGCTGATGAATCTCCATAAGTGTGTGTAGTAGAAAAATATGAACGTTAAGAAACTGCAGATTCAGCGACGATGACAAGAAGCTATTACGTCAAGCTCATTCTTGAAGTGAGATAAATCATCAGTTCAATATATCAGAACAAAGTTTCTAAAAATAAAGTCAGTTT